TGGAAATGGATGCAGGAACCTCAGACAATTCAGTGCATGTTGTGCATGTTGAGGTTAATGCCAATAGCAAGAAATCCCCTAATGTTCATGCTCAACAACCTGATTCTGTAGATTCTGGAAATGCTGTGCATGTTGTGCATGTTTCTGGAAACAATGCTAGCAACAATAAAACCCCCACTGGAAACTCTTGGATGCTGATGCAAAGAAGTAAAAATAAAAAGCCTATCCCCATTAACTCTTTTACCCCTTTGGCAAATATGGTGGATGAACTGGATCCATTTACAATGGATAGGGGGGAGGAAAATTGATGAATCTATCAATTTGGAATATAAGGGGTATGAACAAATCCCCTAAACAGCATCTGGTCAAGCAGCACATAAAGCATCATCATCTTCCTTTTTTGGCTCTCCTTGAGACAAAAATCAAAGAATCTAATATTTCAGTCATTCCAAGAAAAATTGCGGCAGGCTGGAAAAGTGTTTCAAATGCAACAAGCAATGTCAAAGCCAGAATTCTGATCTTATAGGACCCCAGTATCCTGAGCATTCAAAATATGATAATCAATCCTCAACATATTACATGTACAGTTAAGTCATTTGATAATAGAGTTGATTGTATAATATCAGCAATATATGCCTACAGGACTATGGACTGAACTATATCATATTCAGCAATCCATTGGAAATGTGCCTTGGATACTCAGTGGGGACTTTAATACTATGATCAATGATGAAGAGAAAATTAGGGGAATCAAGCTCACAGATACAGATACAAGGGACTTCAATGCTTTTATAGAGGATTGTCATCTCCTGCATCTCAAAACTGTAGGGAATTTTTTTACATACAAACAAGACTGTGACACTAGGGTCTGGTGTAGACTAGACAGGACCCTTGTGAATAACACATGGATTCAGAAATACAATTCTAGTCATGTTGAGTATATGCCTCCAAGCTTATCTGATCATTGCCCAGCTTTAATATCAATTTATGATGAGGGTAGGCATGGCAAGAAACCCTTCAGGTTCTTCAAAATGTGGACTAATCATAGCAATTACCTACCTACAGTATCTTCAATTTGGCAAAAACAAGTGAAAGGCTACAAAATGTACTCAATATTTCTCAAGCTCAAAAATCTAAGGGAGGTTCTGAAAGACCTTAACAGAAATCACTTTGGAAATATAAGTGAACAAGTATGTAGAGCAAAAAATGCATTAGAGGAGGTCCAGCAAAAGCTCCAAGTTGATCCTTTCAACCATGCTCCCATTAGTCAGGAAAAAGAATGCCTATTAGTATACAACAAAATCCTGACTTGTGAAATCTCTTTTCTCCAGCAAAAAGCTAAAATCCAATGGAGTGTCAAGGGAGATAGAAACACAAGCTATTTCCACTCAATTATCAAGTCTAACAGGCATCATAACAGGGTCCTAGTCCTAAACAACAGCCTGGGAGGGAAAATCACAGAGGAGGAGGAAATTGTTAAGGAAATCATTTCTTACTATAAAAACCTCATGGGCACAGCCATCCCAACATCTGATCCAAGCACTGATATTGTTCAGAATGGTCCATGTCTGGGAGAAAATCACATCAGACTTCTATCTACACCTATATCAAATGAAGAGATAAGGAATGCAGTGTTCTCCATCCCAGACAACAAATCCCTAGGCCCTGATGGATATGGATCTTCCTTTTTCAAATCCTCCTGGAATGTGATTGGAGGTGAAGTTACTCATGCTATTCAAGATTTTTTCCAAAATGGTAAACTATTGGGAGCTATCAACTCTACATCCATCACTCTAATACCTAAGGTACATTGCCCAAACACTCCTGCTGACTTTCGGCCAATTTCTTGCTGTAACTGTCTTTATAAAGTGATATCAAAAATTCTGGCAACTAGAATCCAATCAGTGATGGGGTATCTAATAAGTAATGCCCATAGTGCTTTTGTCAAAGGTAGGAATATAGGCAGTAATATCCTTTTAGCTCATGAATTGGTGAAAAACTATGGCCGGAAACACATATCTCCAAGGGTCATGATAAATATAGACATAAGGAAAGCTTTTGATACCATTAGTTGGAAATTCATTGAAGCTATGCTAAAGGGCTTGGGTTTCCCCAAAGTAATGACTGAAAGGATCATGACTTGTATATCTTCTCCTAAGTATTCTATATCTTTCAATGGATCACTACATGGCTATTTCAAAGGAGAAAGAGGCCTTAGGCAAGGAGATCCCCTCTCCCCCTTGTAGGCGTCTAAAATTGCCTATGAGAGCCCGCATGAAACTCGAAGCAATTTTCATCCAAAGTGTGGTAAGCTCAAGATTACACATTTGATATTCGCTGATGATCTCCTGTTATTTTGCAAAGGCAACCTTAAATCAATTCAGAAGCTCTATTAGTGCATTACTCATTTCAGTGAGGTCTCTGGCCTTGATGCTAATCCTAGCAAAAGTGCAGTGTTCTATGGGGGGGTTTCTGAACCAATCAAAGAAGATGTTAAAAATTATCTGAATTTTTCTGAGGGATCTCTCCCTATCAGATATCTGGGAGTTCCATTGGTATGCAGGAGACTTTCATTAAAGGAATGTAATCCCCTATTCACTAGGATCTCAAACCAATTCCATAAGCTGAATATCAGAAATCTGTCATATGCAGGAAGAATTCAGATTATTAAGAGCATTATCCTTGGCATTCAAATATATTGGACCTCATGCTATATTCTACCAGTCAAGGTGCTACAAAAAGTGGATGAACTATGTAGAGATTTTCTATGGGGGAAAAAAGATCAAATCCGAAAGATTCCATTGATATCATGGAGTAAAACATGTGCAAGTATGATACAAGGAGGGCTTGGGATTTTCTCTTCAATTATCTGGAACTATTCATCAGCTATGAAGATGCTATGGGACATTCATTCAAAAAAAGAATGTTTGTGGATTAAATGGATCCATGAGACATACTTAAAACACACTGATATCTGGCAAGTGGAAATCAAGAATAGTGACTCTTGGATGTGGAAGCAACTCTTAAAAGCTAGAAACAAAGCTTTACAACAATGTGGAGGAATAGAGAACCTACATGAGCTCATCAAGGCAAGCTGCTGCAATAACAGTAAAGTTAAGCTATCGAAAATGTATCAAGCTCTATCCCCTGCAGTTGACAAAGTGCCATGGTGCAAAACAATTTGGGAGGGTTTTAATCATCCTAAACATCTCATTCATTTCATGGTTGGCGGTGCATGACAGACTTTTGACACAGGATAAGCTTCAAAGAAGAGGAATCATTCAAGATAACAAATTTATTCTTTGCTATGGTGCTGAAGAAGAAAACAGGAATCACTTATACTTTGAATGCACCTACGTACACAAGAGAAGTCTGGATCAACATCATGGACTGGTTGCAGTTTAAGTGGAAGAGTTGCAATTGGAATCTTCTTCTAAATTGGTACAACTCAAGTGTTCGAGGAAAAGATTTCAAGCATAGAGTAAAAAGAATGGCCCTGTCTACATCTATATATAATATATGGATGGAACGCAATGCAAGAATCTTCAAGCAAAAATGCAAGGGGATTGAGCAACTTACCAGAATTATCAAGGTGGACATGCTAACAATAGTTCTGAATAGTAATATACATATAGAAGATGAGAAATGGATAATTTCCCTGTAACTGTATATATTTTGTAGGGAACTGACGGATACTCAATTTTGAGTTCTTCTGATGTACACAAAATTCTCCATATATGGTCAAATGAATAAAATTTCATTTACCAAAAAAAAGACAATACCCTTCAAATTTGGTTCTGGTCCCCCATTTCAAATTTCAGTGAAAACGGATGCTGTTTACCCCTTCAAACCGTGATTTTCAGAATCAAACTGATGGACTTCGTGAATCTGGCATGCTAGTATACAGCCTGGCAAATTTGAGAAAACTTCAAATCAACTTGTATCTTGTACGTTTCAGACAGGGCTTGACCCGTGTAAGGTTGTGGTCCAATATAAGCTAGGGCTACCCAAAAACTGGACCAAAATTTAAGGGACTAATATCGGAAAAAAGTAATACATATAAAGTTATCCCAAAATTTAACCGGATTGCCGACATATATAACAGTTTCATTGCTCGAGTCCATTAAAAGGTTTCTCCATGTGCAGTGGTACTCCTAATCAAGATCATGTAACTGACTCAAGCTTGAGAATTTTAAACCAGGAACTCCAACCTTTTGTCATCAGAATTAGCAGAACTATCCAGGTTGCACTTTGTTTACTTGAATCAGGAGTTACATAGTAAAACTACGAGGTTGTACTTCGTTTCCTTGAGTCAGGAGTAAAACAGAAGTTGGCCCAATATCTCTCCAACCCGGCAACTCCAACTCAACACAGCAGGAATCCTTAATGCTGCAGCAGCCTATGATGCCAAAATAGGTGGCATATTGTACAGAAACCTAACACAAATTTACTTCGATCCGCTGCCATTACTATTGCTGGATTTGGACCCTTGTAGTAGTTTGTGGTAGTTCATTTGGCCAGCAAGTTATATTCACAGATACAGGGGGGCAGCAGTTGGCTCTAGGTAAAGCTTGTATCAATGCTGTGTTTAATTTGTTATGTTTTTGAGTGGAAAATTTATTTTAGGGTCCCTACTCTTTGCATCTTTTGGAATATCAAATTAAAATGCTAGAATAAATGAGTTTTAGAAGTGCAAGGGTCATAAGTTTAGATGGTGAAGAGACATAGGTTATGGAAGAATAAGAGTAACTTACTCATTTATGACATTTATCTTTATGGCATTAAAATAGGAGTTTAATTTGTGACTATTGGTATGCCTAGACGTTTTTGTTTTTGAAGCCTATATAAAGGGCTATTGTAATCCTTGTTTGATATGAAGAGAGAAAATTGAAGAAATATAAGTGAGTTCTTCATTTGAAAGAGTTCTAAGTTCGTAAACTTAAGAGTCATCAGTGGTATCAGAGCAACTTGATCCAATTTTTCCATTCTCTCTTCTTCTCATGGCTACCACAAATAATCTTGTCAATCCTCAAGTGCCAAAATTATTGAAAGATAACTATGAGAGTTGGTCAATCCAAATGAGAGCCTTATTTGGTTCTCAAGAGTTGTGGGAGCTGATCATTGATGGGTTCACGGAACCTACACCAGAAGTAGAAGCCACCTATACCGCCGAAGAGAAGAAGGCTCTCAGAGAACAAAGAAAGAAGGATAGCAAGGCTCGTTTTCTACTCTATCAAGGGTTGGACGAGTCTACCTTTGAGAGAGTTGCCGAAGCAACGACAAGCAAGGAAGCATGGGAAATCCTTGCGACCATCTACAAAGGTGTCGAGCGGGTGAAGCGAATTCGCCTCCAAACTTTGAGGGGCGATCTTGAAGCCGCTCAAATGAAAGATGAAGAACAAATCTCCGATTATTATTCACGATTACTTCTAATTGTGAATAAAATAAGGAGAAATGGAGAGAAGATGGAGGACATCCGAGTGATGGAGAAGTTGCTCCGATCCCTCACATCAAAATTCGAGCACGTGGTGGCGGCAATTGAGGAGTCAAAGAATTTGGAGGATATCTCAATAGAGGAGCTCTTGGGATCTCTCCAAGTTCATGAACAACGAATGCAAAAGAAGGCTAGTTCCATAGTTTTGGAGCAAGTACTAGAGTCAACATTGACTCTAAGTAATCAAGGCTCACAAGCAAGAGGTCGTGGTCGTGGTCGTGGTAGAGGCAGAGGACGTGGTCCCCAACAACAAACCACTCAAAATCAACCGAAGCAACAAATGATGTGGGTAACAACTCTACGCTTCTTCTTGCTAATGATGATTCAAGTGTTGAGAATGATGCTTGGTACCTTGACTCGGGTGCTAGCAACCACATGTGTGGGAAGAAAGAACTTTTCATGGAACTCGCAGAAGGAGTTCATGGAAGTGTGAGCCTCGGAGATTCTTCAAAACTCTCGGTTGAAGGCAAAGGGAAGATTAAGATCTACCAAAAGGATGGTAAGCCCGAGTATATTTCCGATATTTACTATATTCCTAACATGAAAAGTAATATTCTTAGCATCGGTCAATTACTCTGAAAGGGATACAAAGTATATATGGAGAACAACCATCTTTGGTTGAAAAATACAAATGGAGGCCTCATAGCTTGTGTTAAGATGACAAGGAACCGCATGTTTCCCTTGCATCTAAACACGAAAGTCGACAAGTGTTTTCAAGGACTCATGGAGAATGAGTCATGGAGGTGGCATCTTCGCTTCGGCCATCTAAACTTCAGCGGCCTGAAGTTACTGTCTATAGTTGGAATGATACGAGGCCTTTTCCCAGTGGAAAATCATGGAGAGCAAGTGTACCATTGCAACTTGTTCACACCGACATCTGCGGACCGATCGATCCCGTCTCTTTGGGAGGTAATAGATATTTTATAACTTTCATTGATGACTTCAGTAGAAAGTTGTGGGTTCGGTTTTTACCAAAATTTGAACAACCGAATGACTTCAGTAGAAAGTTGTGGGTGTACACTCTTAAAGAAAAATCTGCTGCCTTTACTACATTCAAGCATTTTAAAGCTTTAGTTGAAGCAGAGAGCGGCCACAAGCTAAAAATTCTTCGATCTGACCGAGGTGGTGAGTACACCTCAAATCTGTTTCAAGAATATTGCAGGGAGCAAGGTATAAAGAGACAGTTTACTACTGCCTACACACCACAGCAAAATGGCATTGCAGAAAGAAAGAACCAGACCATCCTCGACATGACAAGAACCATGCTCAAAGAAAAGGGATTGCCAAAGCAGTTCTGGGCAGAAGCCGTGGCATGCTCAGCTTATTTGCTCAACCGATGCCCCACAAAGATAGTGAAGAACAAGACACCTCAAGAGGCATGGAGCGGTTACACGCCTAGTGTAGCACACCTACGAATTTTTGGGTGTGTTGCATATGCTCAAGTACCTGAAGTCAAAAGGAAGAAGCTTGACAATCGCGGTGAAAAATGCATTTTCATCGGATATAGCGAGGAGTCGAAGGCATACAAGCTCTACAATCCACTAACCAAGAAACTAGTTGTTAGTAGAGACGTTGTCTTAATGAAGAAGAAGCATGGAACTGGAGCAAAATCTACCATACAACGAGGTCCCATCAAAATAAGAAGCCTCAGGGAGATCTATGAGCAGATAGAAGAAGACGAAGAGTCAAATCTTTTCTGCTTATATGCTGATCATAAACCTCTCACTTTTCAAGAAGCCGTAAAAGAAGATTGTTGGCGAACAGCAATGGAGGAGGAGATCCACGCCATCCAAAAGAATGATACTTGGGAGTTGACAACTCTTCCACAAAATCACAAGGCAATAGGGGTCAAGTGGGTGTACAAGATCAAGCGCACAGCAAATGGTGAAGTTGATCGGTACAAGGCGAGGCTTGTAGCGAAAGGTTACAAACAAAAGTACGGCACCGACTATGAAGAAGTCTTTGCTCCGGTTGCTCGACTGGATACGGTGAGACTATTAATTTCACTTGCAGCTCATCACAGGTGGAATATATATCATTTGGATGTCAAGTCAGCATTTCTCAATGGTGTTCTTGAGGAAGAGGTGTACGTGCAACAACCAGAAGGCTTTCTTGTGAAAGGGCAAGAAGACAAAGTGTACCATTTGAAGAAAGCCTTGTATGGCTTAAAGCAGGCACCACGGGCGTGGAACGCCCGAATTGATGGCTATCTTCATCAAAACGGCTTCATTAAATGTCCCTATGAACACGCCATCTACATGAAGAGGAACCATAGAGGCGAATTTCTAATAATTTGTCTTTATGTTGATGATTTATTATACACAGGAAGCAGTACCGAGATGCTTGCTGAATTCAAGGCGGTAATGTTCAATGAATTTGAGATGACAGACAATTGATTAATGTTCTATTTTCTTAGCATTGAAGTGAAGCAGTAACAAGAGGGGATTTTTATATCCCAGAAGAAGTACATGAAGGAGATCTTAGAGAAGTTCAAGATGAATGAATGCAACCCTGTAAACACCCCAATAGCCATCGGAATGAAGCTATCAAGAGAAGGAGACGGACGTTTTGTGGATTCAACTCTTTTCAAAAGTCTAGTTGGCAGCCTGAGATACTTGACGATCACAAGGCCTGATATTACTTATGGAGTCGGACTTGTGAGTCGCTATATGGAGACACCGAATGAATCTCACTGGCTAGCTGCGAAGAGGATATTAAGGTATATCAAAGGCACACTCAACCTGGGTCTCTTCTATGCATATGATGAAAATGCACAACTAGTTGGTTACTCAGATAGTGACTGGGGAGGTGAATTTTGTAATAAAAAGAATATAAGGAAAGAATTGCGTTTGATTTTATTCTCTCTAACTGCTTAGAAAAAGAATGATTACAACTCTCTCAACTCTCGATTACAATTTGGATTCCTGGTTACAAAAGAGAAGAGAATGATCTGGATTCTCCCCTTTGTTTAATTCTGGGTTCTTCACGGTAGCGATGAGATGCCTCCCTCGAATGCTTACGTCGAGTTTGCTTCTCGTTGACGATCCGAATATCTTGGCCGGTTGATAACTCTTGTCGAGTTTTGTGATTCAGAACAAGTAACAAACTCTAATGATAGAGTTGTTGGAACCGAAAATAATTGGGCCGGTTGATAACTCTTGTCGAGTTTTGTGATTCAGAACAAGTAACAAACTCTAATGATAGAGTTGTTGGAACCGAAAATAATTCGGTTAATAAGCCAAATATCGATGGTTTAGAGATCCTCCGTTTGTTGATTTCCCAGACTGTGTAAGGAGTCAATCCTCCTTTTTCTGATTCTGGAAGATTTGATCGAAAGATCCCCCTCCGATTAATGAAAAGAAATCTCTCTTGATCTGATTATCAAAAATCCGATCTCCCCTCTCCAAAAAAGATCCCTTACTCTGTTGAGTTTGTTGCTATTTATAGGGGGATTAGGGGTGTAACTGCCCCCATAATCCGCGCCTAAATGGGGGTTTAGTTACCCCATTAGTCGGGTGTAACAACCCACTAAAGCCACTCCTCAAATCGTGGGTGAAGAACAGCTTCGAAGTTGTTAGATCACGTTTGAATGAGTCAGAACCTTAACCTGCGTTCTGGCGGTGATTGAGCTGCGTTTGGCAGCGACTGACGGGCTGCGTTGGGCAGTGATGGATGAGTTGCGTCGGCAGCGGTTGATAAGCTGCGTTGGGCAGCGATTGATAAGCTGCGTTGGGCAGCGATGGAGCTGCGTTCGAGCTGTGCTTGGCAGCGATTGGAGCTGCGTTGGGCAGCGATTGATAAGCTGCGTTGGGCAGCGGTGGAGCTGCGTTCGAGCTGTGCTTGGCAGCGATTGGAGCTGCGTTCGAGCTGTGCTTGGCAGCGATTGGAGCTGCGTTCGAGCTGTGCTTGGCAGCGATTGGAGCAGCGATTGGAGCTGCGTTCGAGCTGTTGATTAGATTTCTCTGTCTTTATATATGGATGACACCAAAGACCAGTAAAGAAGGTCTTATTCAGGCCATTTGTGACAATTGAGGCATCTCAATAACGCTCTATCAACTGCAGGTCATGATCTCCACTGAGTGTGTCGAATATCATTACACTGCTCATCAGCACCTCTAATGGTTGCTAACATGATATCAGTCATGTTGTTGTCGCAGCCATCAAGATCAATTGCTAACATAATATTAGTCATGTTGTTGTCGCAGCCATCAAGATCAATCATCTCACATAAGAAGCTGCATTCGTGTTTATAGCTGTTGAAGCGGCGTAGGTGATCAAATTGGTGTTGTGTCTTGAAGATGGTACGCAGAGAGGGTTTCCACGTCTTGGTTTGAAGAGATCGTCAATTTGTAATCTCTTTCTATCGGAGCGTTGTTAGAGATCGTCGTTTTGTAATCTTTGCTTTAGCCCTTTGACATGTGAAAATCTTTGAATTGTAGCCTTCTAGAAGTCGTCAGATTGTAACTTCCATCATCAGTGTTCGATGGAGACTCAGCTATCCATTGTGATTTTTAGACAGCCTACAGAACCCCCTCCAAAGTTTTCGAAAGTTCGCGGTTGACTGGGACGAATTTTCGAAATACTTTGGAACCCAAAGATTTTGTTAATCAAATGCTCATCATCACAGGTTGAGTGGAGCACCTTCGTTGACCTCTTCATTCTCCAAAATGAATTGGGCTTTATCTTCAAGGAAACTGGACATTTCTGGGCTTATGAAAAATTTGTCATCACAGATGGAGAGAACCACAAGCCTGTATAAGAAGGATTTTATCCCCAGCTTAGTCTGGAGACTGGCTTCAGAGGAATTCGCTTTATCTTCTCTTTTGATCATATCGCCATTACTTGGAATATTAACCCCTTTGAATGGGTTATTTATATGATATGCTGAGGTTGGCCATCAGAACGCACGCCTATATCCTGCGTTCTCCTGTTTGAATCGTGAGGGTGCGTTCGGTAACTGAAGCCCCTCTTTTTGAAAACGCGAGAATCACGTTTCAGGTGAGATTTTGCCCCAAAATCTCGCTTCGATTTGACAGCTACAGCTGTTTATAAATAGACCACTGAGGTCAAATCAAAAGGCAGCTACAGCTGTTTATAAATAGACCACTGAGGTCAAATCAAAAGGTCATTCGACTTTTCTCCTTTTTTTACTCAGTTTCTTAACAAAGCTCCTGTTCATCTTCTCCAGCGCTTCAACTGAGGAAAAGATCCGTTCCCGAATACTTCGTCTGTCTTCGTCTTCCTTGCCACGGTTGCCATGGGCCTGCAGAAGAAAACGGCTTCCAAATCGAAGATCGCCGAAGCTCAGGGTGCTTGTTCGGCTAGAATCTCCGGGGATGATCAAGTCCCTGCGCCTTCGTCGCCGACTTCTTCAACTAACGGTAAGGTTGAACTATTAGAAGTTGGTTCGACAAATCTCTCATCCCCAACCCT